ATTAAGTATATTTACTGTAAGAAACTTCTCAAAATTTTTACTCTCCTAAGAAATTGATGAATTTTTATTTATATATTATTATTTTTATTTTTGAAATTCTTATGAAGTCAAGCGATGAAATTTGAATTTTTGTCTGAAAATTTATAATAAATAACTAGATTTAAAATAATTTATTGAATATTTAAGATACAGATTTCTTGTTAATGAAAGATATATTCATTCATAAGTTAAAAACTGAGCTTTAAGAATTGAATACATTTAATTAATAGCCGATTTAGTTGTTTTCTTTGGTACGTTATTTAGTGTTTATTTAGTTAATTATTAATTAAAGATAAGTTCCTAATTAATATAACGAAAGTAAACATGCTTCAAATAGAATTGATGGAATAAGACAAGGCCACACACGGGCAATTTGCCAAGAGGGATGCCTCCTGAGAGAAACTGATTCCTATGTAAACTGCACGTGGCCAGCTGTTGGCGAAGAGCAAACCCACGAGCACTGTTCACGTCGTAGGTTCGCTCTGTCACTAATGGACAAGGCTTGAAGTAAGAATAACAGGCAAATCAATAATGAAAATGCGTATAATTTAAAAAACCCTAGTGTAAATATATATATAGAAATATGTAGATTGTTCTACGAGATTCACTACGAGGATTTCTAGCGAGGAAATTAGAATTCTTTTCTTCTTTTCACGCATTTTCTTGAAAACAATAACAAAATTACTTTCTGAAATTTAATACATAAATTAAATAAATGTTTATATATAATTTCATTTAAAGACCCCTTTTAAATTTTATTGAAAGCCGTAATTTTATTTATAAAATATAATTCGCGAGTAACCAGAATCATGACACAATGACAGTGTTTATATCGAGGTTAGTCGTAGTCGTCGTATATTTTAAAACTAGTCGTGGTGTAGGCAATTTACAAGGTAATGGGGATAGGTCACGATAGACTTTTATTTATTAATTCAAAAACAAATATGTTAATTGTTTGTATGTCAACTTGTTTTTATGGCTACAAACCAGTAAGGTGTACTTTTCCAAGATTTAATCGAACGCTTTTATAGATTTTTATACTGTTAAATACTGTACATTACTATGAGCCTAAATAAATATTTATAGGTTTTGGGGTTGTATCTCATTATGGTTAACTAAGGCATCTGCTGTTCTCGATCCTCTCAGTCTCATAATTTCAATAATTTTTGTAGTCCTTTATCATCGATATTCTAAAACTGAATGAAACGATAAATCTTTCAAGTCGTTTCTATAAACTTATCGCAGTTATTAGCTAAAATAACCGTATTTAAAGTTACATTGTTGGCCTGATTTTCTTTGCTTCGAGATTAAATTTGACGAAAAATAGATCCATTAATTTAATACTTTGTCATGTTTCTAAATGAATATATCATGTGTAAGTTCTAAGCACAATATTATACAATTGTAGGCTAGTTGGGTTTTATATTATATGTAACTAAACCAAACATGCTTCTTTTATAATATAAACTACTGTTTAATAAAAGAAAATGAATAAAAATATGTAACTTACTCATGTAAAGCCTAACTTGAAATGTACAGTACTTGCATGAATAAATTAAATTTATATCGGGTGATGGTAATTGATGTATACCCCTATTGAACGCTGTCTTGAGAGTCAAAATGCAGCTAAATTTGATATAGTGACATTTCAGGGCATTATATAAAGCATATTAGTACCAAAACCTCTCAATTTTAGTACTTTCGGAGCTGCTAGCAAAGAACATTTTATCCGTGCAAGACACTTGTGGTATACAAAGATCTTAACCATGCAGAGAATAATACTCAATGTGTTTCCTATTCTAAAGGTGTAAAACCTGAAGGCGATTAACAATGTGTTCAACGGCAAACCGTAATTAATTCTCTGTGATGTTTCTTACGTGCAGAGCGATATTGTCTTTTAAGATTGCCAAATTTGCAAAATATCTTCGATAAACCACACTCTTTAAATGCGGCCGGAGCTAAAATTTACAATTGTGTTTCGGATACAAATCGCGAAAAGTGTCATAGTGATGAGTTTTGATACTGTCCTGAAATTTAGTACGGTGAAGTTTCAGAACAGTGCCAAAACTCGCCACTGTGGCACTTTTGAATTGTGGCACTTCGATCTTTGGATCTTCATCTTGGCTCATCATTGATGTTATCCAGAGAGATATTTAGGCCTATACGAATACATTAATTGTAATCACCCAGTATATGGGCCTAATAATATAGCAAATTTACCAGTAAATTCTCATTACATTCAAATTACAGTACTATTTTTCAATGCCGGAGATATGCTCTCTCTCTCTCTCTCTCTCTCTTTTTATAATGGAATAACATTAAACATACGCCTAAATGTCATTAGTTTCTTCACTAACCTCATCTACAGCATACCTTTACATATATTTCTTTTATTTTTTATTTCTGTTCTATGTATTTTCTATTAGCTTACAAATGCAATGAATAGATTTTTCATTGTTTAAGTCAGATAGGAACTTCTTTAATCAAGATTAAAATGTAGCATGGTTGTAATCTTTTTTCCATATGCTTTATCTCTCTTTAGCATATTATGCTCATCATTATCAACGAGGAAGATAAGATATGGTAAAAAAACACTACTTGAAGCTAGATTATAACTTGTGGCCTAGTCTTTCCTCTTCCATTAAATGTGAGGCCCTAAGGTATAGTTTGTTTGATTTATGCATAAATCTAACCCTATGTCTTTTATATTGGAGTAATTCAAACATATAAGGGTGCATTAATAAGTAATCAGCAGGGGCAACCAGCCATGCTGTCGTTTTTGACTGATTACTTATTGATCCATCTTTATACTTTGATACATAACGGTGTATAGGGACTACCCAGAAAAAGATGTATAAGGCAAACTGTATGTTTCTGCTTGATGATATAAGTTTAACTTTCTTAAGTAATACGTAATTAATTTTATTATAATCTTAATTAAGACTAATTATCTGATTAGAACATTTTTAAACTTTAGCTTTCAGGTTGAATAATTTAAATATGATGTTTTGTATCCGGAAATATCAACTACTCGTGATCACATAACTATGTTGAAAGAACTAGTTTGCTTGAAGAAATAATGAGGTTTCGTTCTGAAGCATCCTCTAAAATAACAATAGCAGTTCTTTACCAAAAAAAGAAAGAAATATTCTTTAATCTATTGAAAATTCTGATAGTTCTGCAAGAAAAAAAACATTAATGTATTTGTATAGGCCTAATAGTATATAAAATTAGCCTAGTAAGTGGCATTTTATTTCTCTGTCTAACAATGGCAAAGGTAAATACACTTCAGAAAATTGTTGAAAATTTAATTAATGGCCCTACAAAAAATAATTTCTTTTATCATTTGAAGAAATTTGTTAAATAAACTTTGAACTTACCGCTTCAAAACTGAAGTTAGTTTCATAAGAAAGTATGAGAAACGCTTAAAAAAAAGATCATAACACTTTCTCGTAGTAGTAGGCTAATTTAATTTATAAACGTTGAAAAATAGCATTTTTTTAATAACCTGGAATCGAGAGGGATGAGAAGAAGAATGGTTCCAAGTAACCTATATCGTAGAGGAACGAGAAACACAGGAAACGTATAGGAAAAACTGTCTTCCTGCTCGCTAACAAACTTCTATTGAGCAACGTTACTTCGCAAATTTTCCATGCATTTTCCAAGCGTAACATTCCGTTATTTCCTTCGTTTGGCTTTGTAATAAGTAAAAACATTATCGAGCAGTTACGCCCGTTGATTTTCATTTGTGTGTCAAGTCATAGCGACCTTCACCAGCATAATTACGACGATCGAAGCAGAACACGTGCAAAAATTTACCCTTCCGCTGTTTTCACTCGATTATTACGTATACAAATTATTATTTTTTCTTCACAAAAAACGTCATTTGAATCGATCGTAAATGGGAAAATGCAAATTATATTCGTGTCTTTGAGGAAATTCCGGTTTTATAAGAACTTCGTGAAGAGAGTTTACACAGAAGTTCATGTAAGTCACGTTATGACGAAAAAAATTATTCTCTATTAAATATACGTAACCGACTAATGACGTAGCGTTACGATAATAAATAAGCACTCTTAAAAGAAAAAATATATGTAAATTTTTTCACTGATAATGCTTACAACGTGCGCTATTTTCGTGTGTTAGTATAAGCTACTCCACCCCTTATCACAGGTTACTCCTTGGCTAAAACTCTTCGTTTATCTCATTTTTTGGGGCTCACGTCGTGACTAAATTATCCAGAATACTCCAAAAACCGGTCATTTCATAAGGGAAAAATGCTCTGATACAAATTTGAATTGAACAAATCGTAATTCTTCTCTATACAAAGGCTTGTCACTGACAATTATAACAGCAGCAATCATCTAAATTACATTTTTTCCAAATGGCTGATTTTCACTCCGTTAGATAATTTCTTTAACGAAGTTAAAAATAACCGGCGAGCGCGTACTTGGGAAGCGTGAACGTTTACGTGACGTCACGAAAGTGGAATTTCTCACCGTCTTTCCTAAACTACGAAGCCGAACGGAAATTATACATTAAATCGAATTAAAAATCTATTTTATTTCATAATTTTCCTTACTTTATTGATGAAAATAACTGTCTCGTTTCGTTTTTACTTTCTAAATTTATTTAAAAAATTAAAAAAAAACGATTGAACGTGCCTACATCAATTGATTGCTACCCTCCCAAGTAGAATTTAACCTACATATTTGCAGTTTTTAAATACATTTTCGGGTGATTTTTCTTAATTTTATACAGCTCGGGATTGATTTTTATGATAAAAACATAAATATTTTCCATTTAAACTTAATACTAAATCTACAACAGGCAATTTATACCCCGAATATGCATCGGCCCTCCGAAAACTGTTCGATAATTAACACCTTAATTAGAATTACGCCGAAAAACCTTCCCAGTCTTTACTATAATTTAATTAAATAAATAAATAAACCACTTACCAATTATATAATCGTATTCATAATCCCAAGTTTCGGTGCTCAAAGGTACACTCCATTCCGACACGTGTAGGTAAATGATAGCAGCGAGTGGTACTATAGAAGGTATGAAATTCGATAGACTAGGTATAGGCATACTTGTCACATCGGACACTGCACGAGAGCACGCTTTTGGCAAGAATACAGTGATGAAGGAACCATTACGGATATACGACGAGGCACGTCGACCTCGGAATCAGACGAACACCTAACTAAGAAGACGAGAACCGTACCTTGAACTTGACCGACAGGTACAGATACATCGACGTCAGGTTAAAACCTGTTTGCTAACCCCCGGGCTATTTATGTACGACTGATCGAAAAGGAAAGATCGTCAGAGTTTCCATTAATACTCGTCTTTCGGATATAAACTGAATCGTTGTCAAGGTAGATAACGAGGACACGCGTGACCGACGTCACGTAAAACCGACTTCTATAATCCACGCGGTGCGAACCCACATTTATTGTAACCGCAACAACACCACTGTTGATAACACTTTACACTTTTACGTTTTTACAGTTGTACGATATTAGTTTACGAAGTTTTTTTGTACTTGGGGGCTGGGCATTGGTTCTTTATGGCTTCGTGGGGCTCGGGCGAATTTGAATTACGAGGGCCCGTGTACTGTACAGTGTTGACTTCAGAAATTTTTCTGGGGAAATATTTTATTATAAAATATTGGTTGGAGACCCCTATTGATGGGCCTCAGGTAATTGACATTTTGCCTGTAGAATAACACGCCACTGGGTTGGGCTCCATCCCCTATAAAATTAATTTTATTTTTGATAACTCGTTAAATCGTTAACCCTGTCATTCATTAATTAAGAAACATTTTATGTATTTCATTTGTTCAAAATACAATGGTTGTAAGGCCCCGGGCCCTATAATGAGATATTCACATCTATCGTCCTTCTAACTGGAGTACTTTTAATTTACTAAATCTAAAACTTGATTTTATTCATTTAAATAATGAAAATTTGAAATTAAATTGAACACAGCATGAAAAATAAGATGAAACAAACTGATTTTAGTACAAACAGAAGTCATTTTGTGTGAAAGAAAATGCACCAATTTTCTCTTACATCTTCCTTTAAAAAGTAATTTTACTTGCATAAAATCAAAGTAAAATAACTTGTACTGTACATCGTTTTTTAATTTATGTAAGAAGATAATATCATTTTTCCTATTTAAAACCAACAAAAACCAGTTATTTTTTATGTTCTTAGATATAGAATTAGATAAGTGACGAAGTTTACTTATCTACAGAAAACAAAATAGGAGTTTAGGGGCTATAGATTTAGACAGAAGTGGAAGTAGAAATAAATAAATAAACTTCTCATATACATTATTTTCTGTTTAATATGAAGGTAAATAATTGAGTTTCTGAGTTTTAAGTGTTACATCAATTATACAAGATAAAACAAGAGTAGAAATCGACTCTATGAGACACTAACACGGGGCCCTTTTAATCATACCCATAATGGATTCGTTCAGACCCACCTAGAGGGGACAAAAGAAGCTAATTGATCGGGCCCCAGAAAATGATACCATGGCTTTTCCTTCCTTATTCCTTATTGATGTAGGGTCCCCAATATGCGTCATTTACCCTCTCGGCTCTAAGGCCCATGACGAAGAGTGGGCCCGATATATCCGGGATGGACCTCAATCCGAAAAATTCCCGAGGTTCTCCAGAGCGGTAGACTGACGTTTTTACAATTGCAGCTAATTAAGAATTCTTATAAAGGAAATAAGATAAAAATGTAAATTAAAAATAGGTTAATACATCTACAGACGGAATTGTTATTAAAATTTAAAAAAATTGAAGTGTTTTAACAGGATGATTTATGTGTTATAAGAAGGGAGGGAGAAAAAAACTGTTAGCAAAATGAAACAATGGATACATTCTGTTATTTAAGAAGTATTAGCACATTATCAGTCAGATAATTAACTAGAAGAACAAGTGCTTTCTTCGCACGGATAAATAAATCAGGTGAAAAAATACACTCAGATTTGGGTAATTGTAACAGATAATATGTGCCAATTAATATCCTTTAGGGATAATTTCCTCAAACTTTTTCATGTTTTCCATTTAAAATTGGTTCAATGTCAAGCGCTTCTGTGATGTTTGATTTCTTTTGGGTTTTAATTGTAAAGAATAATTAATTATTTTTCTTTGTAACTTGTATAAAAACCTCAAATAACGACCATCTCTGAACGGCGGACATTTTCAGGATCGTTTCTTTTTAAAAATTATAAAAAATAACCTCAACAACGTCCACCTCCAATCAACGGGCATTTTTTCCGTTTCCGTCAGTGGCCGTTGTCCGTGTTTACAGGTTTGACTGTAATTCTGTGTATGTATATATATATATATATATATATATATTAACTGTAAAAATATAGTTAAACCTCGATGTAACGTCACCACACTTCTTCCCTCGAAAATTGCTACTAAATAGAATGTGGCGCTAAACCGAAGGACCTGGAATAATACGAATTATATTTTTTTAAAATGAACTTTAAAGACAATTTTGAGGTTTTAGGGGGTTTAAAGTCACGTGATTTGGCGTTAATAATGCCCTTTATAAGCAAAACCGAACTTTTAGTAATTTACAGAAGCTGAAGCATTCTCTATTTAATACCTAAGAGAAAAGTTCATTGGCGTTATATCAGGGTGATGCTGTTTAAGAGGGTACTCTATCGAGATTTGACTATTTTATAATTTTATATTACTTTAAAATTATTTACTAAATTAATTATAAATATTTTATTAAAATATATTTTATATTCAGCTCTTTTCGTATTTATTGTATAGTTTTACAGGTTTGTTGTGGCCTACATATCTATAATAACAGATATAATGTAGGTATACATAAATATGTCCGAATTATAATGGAAACAATATGCATACTGTGAGATAAGATGAAACTAGAGGTCATGGAAATTAACGTGACAAATTTCGACATCAATTACGTCATTAGTAAAAATAATAGTGGTAAATAAATAAATAATAACAGCCATTAAATAGGGGAAAAGGTGAGTTATCCTTAAAAATCATTTTAAAAATTAGGTCTTCAGCTTATTTATCTCGCATCTAGAGTAGACACAAAGTCCCTATTAGTACTAGTTATAAGCCACCTGCAGGGTTTTGAGTGGGAGTTTTTACCCTGGACCTTCCAGAGGAAAAATCCCCACGTTTATCAGGTCCAGCTTCACCTAAGTTCCCCTACCTATAGGGGAACTTATTGGTCCCGTATAGATTAATATTATTTTTAATAAAAAAATCTCTGACATTGCTTTTTATTAATAAAGGAACATTCTAGTATTTTATTTGTTGAAAAAGAGCATAAGAGGCCGTTATATAAAGGCCCCATAAGCTTTGTACGTCTGTGGTCATCTGTGTGCTCCTTTTTTCTGTACGCAAATTTGAAAATTTCCTCGTTTTCTCCTGAATATTTTCTTCTATGTTGACGGTTGGAAATAATTAAAGTAGTGTCTGACAGGGGTTAAGTCAATACTAGACACGTAAGGCGTGTGCCTAGAGCCTTTGGTGTCGGGAACCCCAAAATTGGATAAAAGAAAGCAATTTTACCGTTATAATTGTATGTTATAAATAATTTTATGGCTATATCTAGACGTTATTAGTTTGTAATGTTGAATTATATACAGGGCCTCAATCAATAACTGGATCTAGGAACCCATAATGGATTCGTTCAGACCCACCTAGAGGGGACAAAAGAAGCTAATTGATCGGGCCCCAGAAAATGATACCATGGCTTTTCCTTCCTTATTCCTTATTGATGTAGGGTCCCCAATATGCGTCATTTACCCTCTCGGCTCTAAGGCCCATGACGAAGAGTGGGCCCGACATATCCGGGATGGACCTCAATCCGAAAAATTCCCGAGGTTCTCCAGAGCGGTAGACTGACGTTTTTACAATTGCAGCTAATTAAGAATTCTTATAAAGGAAATAAGATAAAAATGTAAATTAAAAATAGGTTAATACATCTACAGACGGAATTGTTATTAAAATTTAAAAAAATTGAAGTGTTTTAACAGGATGATTTATGTGTTATAAGAAGGGAGGGAGAAAAAAACTGTTAGCAAAATGAAACAATGGATACATTCTGTTATTTAAGAAGTATTAGCACATTATCAGTCAGATAATTAACTAGAAGAACAAGTGCTTTCTTCGCACGGATAAATAAATCAGGTGAAAAAATACACTCAGATTTGGGTAATTGTAACGGATAATATGTGCCAATTAATATCCTTTAGGGATAATTTCCTCAAACTTTTTCATGTTTTCCATTTAAAATTGGTTCAATGTCAAGCGCTTCTGTGATGTTTGATTTCTTTTGGGTTTTAATTGTAAAGAATAATTAATTATTTTTCTTTGTAACTTGTATAAAAACCTCAAATAACGACTATCTCTGAACGGCGGACATGTTCAGGATCGTTTCTTTTTAAAAATTATAAAAAATAACCTCAACAACGCCCACCTCCAATCAACGGGCATTTTTTCCGTTTCCGTCAGTGGCCGTTGTCCGTTGTTTACAGGTTTGACTGTATATTCTGTGTATGTATATATATAGCCTATATATATATATATATATATATATTAACTGTAAAAATATAGTTAAACCTCGATGTAACGTCACCACACTTCTTCCCTCGAAAATTGCTACTAAATAGAATGTGGCGCTAAACCGAAGGACCTGGAATAATACGAATTATATTTTTTTAAAATGAACTTTAAAGACAATTTTGAGGTTTTAGGGGGTTTAAAGTCACGTGATTTGGCGTTAATAATGCCCTTTATAAGCAAAACCGAACTTTTAGTAATTTACAGAAGCTGAAGCATTCTCTATTTAATACCTAAGAGAAAAGTTCATTGGCGTTATATCAGGGTGATGCTGTTTAAGAGGGTACTCTATCGAGATTTGACTATTTTATAATTTTATATTACTTTAAAATTATTTACTAAATTAATTATAAATATTTTATTAAAATATATTTTATATTCAGCTCTTTTCGTATTTATTGTATAGTTTTACAGGTTTGTTGTGGCCTACATATCTATAATAACAGATATAATGTAGGTATACATAAATATGTCCGAATTATAATGGAAACAATATGCATACTGTGAGATAAGATGAAACTAGAGGTCATGGAAATTAACGTGACAAATTTCGACATCAATTACGTCATTA